AACACCTGTTCCTCTCACCTCATTGCAGTATTTCTGTTCTTTGGTTCAGGTTTGGTTCGCTATCTCATGCCCACCTCTGGTTCTTCCCTTGATTTGCTTGCCTCCCTGCAGTACAGTGTGATCACTCCCATGCTGAATCCCCTCATCTACAGTCTAAAGAACAATGATGTGAAGGCAGCTGTAAAAAGAACACTGGAAAAGTATTTGTAATATTTTAAGTAGTAAACAAAAACACAGATTAATAGAAAATGAGTCTGTGCTGTCAAGTCCTTGAACTTAAGGTCCAACTCTGGACCATATTTTGAAGAAAATCCAGTACCAACCTTTCCATGGTTATGTTAGCAATGAAAACTGTTATCTATGTATGCATTTTTTTTCATTAGATATCTTTGTAACGTTCAGAAAAATTATTTTTCCATTGTGTTTTGTTTCTTAGTCATTCTAATGGAAGTGAAACAGTATCTCATTGTGGTTTTGAGTTATATCTCTGGGAACAATGAGCATCTTCTCATGTAGTCGGTGAATATGTCAATGTATTCTTTCGTAAAATGTCTGATAAAGTATTTTTTCCACCTTATGATTGAGGTATTTGTCCTTTTCTTAAGTTATCAAAGATGATAGATAGATAGATAGATAGATAGATAGATGATAGATAATAGATAGATAGACATATTCGTTATTAGAGTCCAATAGATGGTTTTCAAAGGTATACTACCAGTCAATAGCATACCTTTCTTTTTTTTTTCATAAAGTCTTTTGGTGAACAAAAATCTTTCATTTTTATGAGGATTTATTTATTTTTCTCTTATGCTGTTTGTTCTTTTGTTATTACATGAGATAATTCTTTTTTTCCCAGTTTTATTTTATTATTGTGTGTGTGTGTGTGTGTGTGTGTGTACCGTCAAATTGGATCTGACTGGTACAGGAGGAGATGGCCCCTCCTTCTCCGGCAGAGCATCTGGGGGATTCAAACCGTATATCTCTGGGATTGCAGTGCAGCTTCTTGCCACTAGGCCAGCAGAGCTCCCCTGAGATAATTCTTAAAGACCAGGCCCAACAACTTTGCCTTGCATTTTCTCCTAAGAATTCTACAGTGGTTTTCAACAGTTTTTCTATTTAGGTCCTTAAACCATTTTGAACATGTTGTAAAGTATGGACCCTATTTCATTTTTCTACATGTAGAAATTCAAATTTCTCAACATAATTTTTAGTCTGTTTCTTTTCATTTTTTTAGGATCTTCTTGTGCTTGTTTTACGCATTGTGTCCAGAATGTATTATGTCCATGGTTTCTGGAAATACTTAGTAAGAAAAAGGGGAAATGTGTTTACCCCTTCTAGCTCAGAACAAAAAGCCAAAAAATGCATTTATAATGATGTTTGCATGAAGTCAATGATGTCAAAAAGTTTGGAAATAAACAAAGTCTTCTATGTTGTTGTATTTTGAGAAAAGGGGGGAAAGTGATACCCATAAATAAAGAAGACCCTAGAGTATCTGTTTATTTTTTCTTTCTTTTTTTATTATTAATTTTAATGAAAATTTGTTTCTTTTTTAACTTTTTATAGTGATTTGGATGAAAATATTCTAGAGCATATGTATTTGCTATACAGCTATTCATTCAGCATTAATTGACGAATTTCTTCTTTCACTTCTTTCATTTGTTGAAGAATTTCTATAAATATCAATTTATTGAAGAATTTCATAGAATGGACTTAGCACCCTTGTTAAAAATCAGTTAGCCACAGGTGTGAGGATTTCTTTCTGGGATTTCAAATCCAGAACATTGGTCAATCTGCATATTGTTTTACCACTATAAGGGTGTCTTGATTATTCTTGACTTCTTGTTGTTGTTGTTGTTGTTGTTTTTGCTGTTGATTGCTGTCTAGTTTATCACGACTCATAGCAGCTCTATGAACAAAAGACCTAATGCCTTTCCACAACTATCATCGTTTCTTCGAGTTCATAGAGCTTCCAGAAACAAGTATCTTAGGAAGTAGATGCCACTCCTGCTTCCAAACCTGTTTTACAAAAGGGAGCACCACCAAACACTGTCACCACTGGGAAACCATTATGTTATTTGATACCCCAATAGCACAATGTTCAGCATCACAGCAAACCCAGGTTACTTCATACAGCACATTGACAAAGAGTAATGTACTAAGTAGAAGAATGTTCCTCCAGCTATAACAACACTAGTCTCATTTAGCAGTGGTTAGGTGTCATCAAGTCAAATAAGACTCATAGCAACCCTTGCGCAAAAGACTGAAACTCTGTTCTATAACTAACATCATTTCTGTACATTTATATTGTTTATAGAGTTTTCAAAGGTATCTAGTTTAGGAAGTGGATACCACTCCTGCTTCCCAACCTGATTCAATCTGGAAGTTCCTCGAAACATTGTACAAGGAGGGTAATCGTTATGGTATTTGGCACAACTATAGAACAATGTTCAGTATCACAGCAATTCCAAATTATTTGGTACAGGAAATAGACAAACAATTTCTGTATCACCTAAAGAATATTCGATCTAAAGTTACTAAATTAAAATTTGCAGAGTGGAGTCTCCAGGCTGGCCCGCACACACAACCCCTCACTACGGAATTTTAAAGAGAAGGAAACAGAAAATCAAATGTAGGAAGAGAGCAAAGTGATGACACATATAGACAAATGAGCGATTAACCCAGTGACAAATCTATTCAGATTGAAATGGGAAAGAAGAATCTAGAGACCAAGTAGTATTAGTTACAGCTGGAAATACCTGGTGGTATAATCTAACCAATTGTTTGCTGTTGTTATGTGCCATCGAGTCGTTTCCGACTCATAGCGACCCTATGCACAACAGCTCTAAACCCTGCTCTATCCTGCGCCAACCGCACCG